TCTTAATAAAATATATTCCAAATAATTTTTGTAATTTAACATATTTAAATATTCAACTCATTCAGCCTCAATCAAACTTGTAAATTTTAGCAGGTTTAACTGATTTAGCTATTTTCAATGTTACCGAACATATTGTTAGCGAAACTACTAAAGACATGTTTACTTCACCGGTTATTAAACGGTGCTTATTAAGACTCGTGTTAATAAGCGGCGCATAAAATAAACAATGTTGTAAGACCGTGTTTACTTCAAACGGTTTAAAACACCGTTTAACATTAAAATGTCCAAAATAACCCTATACATATATATATACACACAAACATTCATGAACACAAGTATATAATATAATATGTGTACCCATACCCCTAACCCCTTACCCACCCTACCTTACCCCGACCCCACCCACCGCCTACCCCTACCCCCTACCCTACCCTACCTACCTGACCCCACCCTACCTACCCGACCCTACTCCTACCCGACCCCACCCTAACCTGTCCCCACCCTACCGCAACCCTACCCCCGACCCCATAGGCCCATACCCCCATAGGCCCTTACCACATCAACCCCACCCCGACCCCACCTTACCCTACCTTACCCCAACCCCTACCCTACCCAACCCACCCCCTACCCCTATAGGGTGGGGGGTGGGTAGGGTAAGGGTAGGGGTGGGGTCGGGTAGGTAGGGTAGTGGTAGGGTGGGGTCGGGTAGGGGTAGTGTAGGTGGGGTAAGGGTAGGGGGTCAGTTAGGTAGGGTAGGGGGGTGTCTGGTAATGGGGTAGGGTAGGGGTAAGGTGGGGTACGTGTAGGGTGGGAACGGGCAGGTAAGGTAGGGGTAGGGTGGGGTCGGGGTAGTGGTAGGGGGGTCGGGTAGGTAGGGGTAGGGTCGGGGTAGGTAAGGGTAGGGTGGGGGTCGGTTAGGTAGGGTAGGGGTGGGGTAGGTAGGGTGGGGTCGGGGTGGGGTAGGGTGGGGTCAGGGTAGGTGGGGTAAGGGTAGGGTCGGGGTAGGTGGGGTTGGGGTCGAGGTGGGCCAGGGATAACAATAGGTTAAGGGCAAGGAGTAAATTCGGAAACTGAAAAAGCTTAAAGTGCCGCTTAATTAATACATGGGGGGTGGTATGCTTAATAAGCGGCACTTTAAGCACCTCTTTCGGTTAGTAAGCGGCTTTTTAAGCAGTGTGCGTGTTTACTTCACCTGTCTTACTAACCTAACTGTGACTTTAGCAGTGAAGTAAACACCTCCTAAGTGTGTTGCACGGGGCTGCAAATACATATAAGAGTATGATCTATTTCCATTTGGGAATTTTCCCTAAATGGGACTAATTAGCTTCATAAATTCCAAAATGAGACCAACCCGAAAGTCAAATTTCGCTAGGACTAAATGAGCTCTGAATTGCCAATTGTACCCGCAACTAATACGTGTCGTATCACGATTTCCCATAACCAAATATAAGTGCCTCTCTCATCTTCCTGCAGTTACTTCGAGCCTCTCCAACTTTCCAAGCAACGTATACTCCAACTTCCGCAGCAACTGTACTCGAAGAAGAAAAGAGATTGACGCTGAGAATATAGAAGTAAGAACCGAAGGCTAAAACACCATTAGTGTCGTCAACAATGGGTGGTTCGAACTTGACGAGTACAGAACGAATTTCAACCAAAAATTCAATCGGGAAGGTCTTCAAATGATTTTTGCAAGTTAACTGGTCCGGAATATGTATACAGGTCCGGCCAGGCCGGACCACTCCCCTCGTCCGGCCTCCTCCATTTGGGGGCCTTTCGGGTGGTATTTTTTGCTCAAATTTTTTGTGTAGGTTCCTCATCAAGGCTAGTTCATCCATACCAAATTTCAACCAAAAATTCAATCGGGAAGGTTGTCAAATGATTTTTGCAAGTTAACTGGTCCAGAATATGTATTTTCCGGCATTCAAATTATTTTTTGAAGTTGACTGCAGTTTTATATGTATATTTTGACGCAGTCAACTTAAAGAAATGATTTGACTGCCTTCCCGCTCGAATTTTGAGCTAAAATTTGGTATGGACAAACTAGACTTGATGAGGAACATGCTCAAAAAATTTCATCAAAAAATTCCATCGGGAACCGCCCCAAACAGTAAAGTTCGGACGGTCCCTCCTATCCCTCCGGAGGGACCTGAGCAGTCCTCTATATATATATATATATATATATATATATATATATATAGAGAGAGAGAGAGAGAGAGAGAGAGAGAGAGAGAGAAATGATCGTGTCCAGCAGCCCCCGGTCCGAACAGTGTCCGAACATGGCCATTTGGCGCACTTCCCAGTGGAATTTTTTGATGAAATTTTTTGAGCATGTTCCTCATCAAGTCTAGTTTGTCCATACCAAATTTCAGATCAAAATTTGCTCGGGAAGGCATTCAAATCATTTTTTGAAGTTGACTGCGTCAAAATATACATATAAAAGCGCAGTCAACTTGAAAAAATGATTTGAATGCCTTCCCGAACGAATTTGGAGCTGAAATTTGGTATGAATAAACTAGACTTGAAGAAGAACATGCTCAAAACATTTCATCAAAAAATTCCACCGGGAAGTGCCCCAAATGGCCATGTTCGGACACTGTTAAGACCGGGGGCTGCTGGACAGGATCATTCCTCTCTCTCTCTCTCTCTCTCTCTCTCAATATATATATATATATATACACACAACTTTTCATGTCCAGCCGGCCTGACGGGAACCGCCGTCCGGCCGAAGGCATTTCGGGCACTTCCCGGTGGAATGTCTTGATGAAATTTTTTGAGCATGTTCGTCATGAAGTCTAGTTTATACATACCAAATTTCAGCTAAAAATTCAATCGGGAAGGCACTCATATAATTTCTTAAAAATAACTGGGCAGTTCATACATATAAACTACGCAGTTAACTTCGACAAATTATTTGACTGCCTTCCTGATTGAATTTTTAGCTAAATTTGGTATGAATAAACTAGACTTCGTGAAGCACATCCTCAAAAAATTTCATCAAAAAATTCCTCCAGGAAGTGCCCGAAATGCCCTCGGCCGGACAGCGGTTTCCGTCAGGCTGGCTGGACAGGAAGGCCTCTCTCTCTCTCTCTCTCTCTCTCTCTATATATATATATATATATATATATATATATATATATATAACTTGCAAAAATCATTTGAAGACCTTCCCGATTGAATTTTTGGCTGAAATTTGGTATGGATGAACTAGACTTGATGAGGAACCTACACAAAACATTTGAGCAAAAAATATCACCGGGACGGCCCTCAAATGGAGGAGGCCGGACGGGGGGAGTGGTCCGGCCTGGCCGGACCTGAACATTCGTGTGTGTGCGTGTGTGTGTGTGTGTGTATATATATATATATATATATATATATATATATATATATTGTATTTTCCGGACCAGTTAACTTGCAAAAATCATTTGACGACCTTTCCGATTGAATTTTTGGCTTAAATTTGGTATGGATGAACTAGACTTGATGAGGAACCTACACAAAAAATTTGAGCAAAAAATACTACCGGGAAGGCCCCCAAATGGAGGAGGCCGGACGGAGGTCAGGTATACCTGACCGGAAGAGTTTAACAGTTCGATTCGGTTTTCCGAAAATGTGGATTCGGAACAGCCGGTTCTGGTTCCGGTTCCGAACCATTTTTATTTATTAAAATAGATAAATAACTAATCATAAAAATAATAAGAATAGAAGTACTTGCATTACGGAGTAGCTAGTAATTTTTAGTTATTATTACTAGTTATAATACTTTAATATTACAAATTATAGTAATAAGAATATATAGTTTTACAAATTACTAGAGTACTTTAAAATTACTAACTCCTAGATTTATACAAGCTAATTTCTAGCTATTTAGTTATTTATGGAAAAGTTATTTTGTTATCAACTACGTATCTAATTATTACTTAGTTATAGAAATAATTATTATTAACAGCACTAATATTTTTGTGGGAACTCTTTCATTCAAATAATCTTATTACTTACCTAAACCATTTTTAAACAATTAAATAATTTTTATTATAAAAAAATGGAACCGAAAAAACGAACTAGATTAGATTCGGAGTCGCCTGTTTTGGAATCGTTATCGTGCGGTTCCAGTTCCGGTTCCCCGGAATAAAGAACCAGGAACAGACAATTCGGTTCGCGTTTCGGTTTGAACCACGGACAGGTCTAGAACTAGGAGTGTAAACGAGCCGAGCCCGAGCATGAGTATGCTTGAGCTTGAGCTTGATAAGAATTCACGAGCTCGATCTCGATCTCGAGCTTTAACGAGTTAAATAATTCGAGCTCGATCTCGAGCCGAGCTCAACTCGATCCGAGCTCCATTCGAGCTTGGTTCGAGCTCGGGTCAAGTTTCACTAATTAACTTTTATAAGTTTGAACTCGAATAAGGTGCTCGAACTCGAGCTAAAAATATTATATGTGTACTTATTCATTCTCATTTTTAGTTTATCTCTCATTTACTAACATTTTTATTCTTTATTTTACTGTCAATAAATATTAAGAGTGCTACAGATTATAGTTATAATAATAATACTGTGCACATGTTATTATTTTTGTAATTATTACTATTATAATATACTTTGTGATAAGTATTGAAAATGGAATAGTCCTAAATTAGAATACATATTTCAAAAAAGTATATATGTAATTATTACATATATATTTATTATGTATAAACTATGACACAAAGGCTCACGAACCGCTTGCGAGCCACGAGCCTAAAATAAATAAACTTGAATTGAACTTGTTAACTATTTGAGTCGAGTCAAACTCGAGTCGAGCTTAATATGACCGAACTCGAGTCGAGCTTTTCCCGAGCGATCAACGAGTAGTTCCAGGGGCGGAGCCAGGGCACTGGGCCGGTACAAAGAATATTTTTTAAAAAAAATTTACACAAAATTTTTACCTTAAAAATTAAGCTATTTTTAAAATTTGGGTTAAATCATGATCTAGGTTGGCCCACCCCTCACTCAGCCCATACGTAGCTGGCGAGCCGCTAGACTCATTTACACCACTATGAGTCCAAATGTGCACTTGGTCTTGGGATAATGCCTGCAAATTCTTTGAAGCGCAACCTGGCTACGTACGTCCTTGTGGATATTTGAATCCTTTCCTGGGTACTGTTTGATCTTTAAACAAATCTACGTTCAGAACTTTGGGAGCGCTCAACTGTTCTTTCAAGAAAAAGTCAATTCAAGGACCAAGGCAGTAAGGCGTGTACAGCTATGGCTGCTTCAACCGGATTGGGGCTACCCTGGACATCGAATTTGACCCTCAACCGTATGTCAACTTTGGTGGCGCCACCATCCTGTCGTCGTCGTCGGATTTCCTCTTCTATTCCATCCGCCGCCACCAGAATGGCGGTGTCATCAGTTCATGAGAAGCAGAAAACTTTTACACTACAGAAATCTGAGGAAGCTTTCAATAAAGCGAAGGTAATTTTAGTACTTCATAGATTATATAGTCCTCTGGATTCAGATTGAAATGCCTTAGATGATTCACTGTTCTTTCTTAGCTAATTGAAGAATGCTGCTTTTGTTTTTTATGATTATTAGAGCAAAGATGAGAACTTTAGCTTATTGCTTCAAAAATTGGGAATTTTTGGGATTTTTTCGAATGGTGTTATAAAAATGTTACTAAAGAAAAGACCATAACATGCTTATTGTTCTTTCTTTCATCACCCACACCCACAGTCTCACGCCATTCTCATGTTCTTCCATAGGCAAATAGCTAATTAGTTTTTTTTTTTCTAAAGTAGGGATTAGTAGGTGGCTAGGCTGCTAGGATAGTAGGTAAGACGCATAAAAAAGCATGCAAACTCTTTGCCCATTTATAACCATTGAGCATCATAAACAGTCCTCTCTTTACCTGGAAGATATCCAACTTAATCTTGTAACCCGACCCTGAAAGTTACTCCTACTTGCTTTAGCATGCTTGGTGAACAGAATAAGAAAGAAAAACTCAGGAAGAGGCACAAGTCTTTCATGAGTTCCATCTGCACTCTGTCGTCAAGTAGTTTACCATTGTCTTGCAGGGGCGGATACACATAGTAATTGGGGGGGGGGGGGGGGGCTGCCCCCAGTAAAGAACCAATTTTTCCTTAGCGTTCATTAGAAAAATTAACAAGACCTGAAATCCCCCCCCCCCCAATTAAAAAGAGAATTACCCCCTATTAGTAATCAGGCGATCCAATTTAAACAAAGAGATGATATCAGGTTTGCCCCTGTGTAGCCTTATAGCAGAAGAGTTAGACGGGATAAAATTAATTTTAATTTATTTAGATAGAACCTGTTTCGAAGAGGGAACGACAACCAACTACCCATTGTCAATTGTGAAACACCGAGAACATGAGAAGCCTAGAAACTAATTAAACGACGTCAATCCAATTGTGAAAAAGTGCACATTCCTAATACACCGTACTCTACTTCAAAGCTCAAATTAATTATTATGTATTGTATATCTATTATCCAACTATCAAATATCAAAACATTAGGAAATTAGAACTCTAGATGTTGTTTAAATATCATGAACAAACTATACAGTTTGTCCTGGTTTTATGAAAATGTAACTATTCTAGTAGGGTAGGTTAAATTAGAAAGAATTTAATAATCTGAAATTTAAAATGAGGTATATAATAATGTTAGTGACTTAGAAATACTAAAACTTATTTATAGCAGTTAGCACTGAGAATTGTACCTTTTCTCTCCCAACTTAATTATAAATGTATACTGACAATTCAATTAATAATATTATAATTAGTTTAGCTAAATTATAATAGTAATTAACCATAATATCAACTATATTATAATTAAATTTATAATTTAACATTGGGTGTTAAATTGTTAGCTGTTTCACATGGTTAACAAATACAGTATAAAAAACATAACTATTGGTTGTTTCAGATGGTTAAATTAAGATATGAAGTATATAAAGAGTATAGTAGTTACTAAAATTTACATTTTTTTCAAGATTTCATGGACACGTTTTTTAATATAATTGTATCTATAGTACTTCTCAATGTGTTGCTTCAATGCCTAAGAAGTCATGAACTAGCTACTTTATCATGACTTTTGATAGTGTAATATACTTTATTGAATTTTGAATATTTTCCGTTTGCTTTATTACAATTGTTTTCTACCTAATATATTTTGTTATACTTTTTAATGGGATGAACATCACTAATTTTTCCGCCCCCAATACCTTCTTTTTCTGGATCCACCAAGACTCTTGCCATAGTAACCCAATGCAGGTTTATGCAAACAGCATGCAGTATTCCAAATAGAGCTAAAGGAATAGAATTCAAATAAAATAACCTCAGTGGGTTACGGACTTACGGCGTATGTTGGGTGAATTAGTAGATATGCATTTTGGGGAAGGGTATATTTGTAGATATGTAAGTAATTTTTCAAAAACAAACATGCGGTGTGCTATGAAACATCAAGTGCACTGGTTTGGTATTTGTCATCCTAGCACTTGTTCTTTATGCCTGAAAGAATGTGATCGGTCTGAGTTTAAGATATCAACTCGGATGTGAGAATCTCTCAGTTTAATACGAATGTTCTTAATCTTATTTATTTTTCTTGTGTGAAATATAACACATAATCTCTTCTAATCTGAAGCTTTATGCTTTGGCTTGAATCTTTCTTGCCTGGACTGGTTTAATCTGATTAAATAAGAATATGTAAAAAGCACGACCTTATAATAAAAATAAGAATTATGATAAAAAAAATTAAAATAAGAATTATAAGAGGCACAACCTTATAATTAAATGAGATGAACAAAAACAGTACGTTAGTAAACTTCCATCATCATCATCATCATTTTCATTTACCCCAGTGCCGCAAAGGCTCCCACCTACGGTGGGATAAGGGGGGGTTGGATGTACGCAGTCTTACCTTTGTACGTTAGTAAACTTCCTTCTGCTAATATTTCCATAAATGCTTATCATTGCATTTTAAACAGTTGAGTTTGAATATATAATTGTTGGTTCAGCAAGTTTGGTTGTTTGTGAGTTATAACTAGTCTTGAGTTTTTTTTAATATATTTGCAAATTATAAGCCCATTAACCACTGTCTTGACAAAGGAATGGGAAGTGATTGCTACATTTTCATCTTAGCTATTGACTGCATTTAGGAGAAATCAAAGTTGTGTTTACATGGCACTCTTATGTGTCTTCAAGAGCATATAAAAAATTAAGTTGAATATCTTATTACTTCCTTCCTTTCCATCATTTGCAATGGAGCCAAAGATTCATTATTTTTTGGCTTGAGAATATGATGGAATAAAGCAAAATGGCTCACTAAACTGTCCGCGCTTCTTTGTTATGAAGTAGTAGTCAGCCCATGTAATTTTGGACGCGATTTTCACTATGAGTCATCCGGAAACAGTCTCTCTGTGCTTTAGTACAGAGGTAAGACTGCGTACATCCGACCCCCCTTACCCCACCGTAGGTGGGAGCCTTTGCGGCACTGGGGTAAATGAAAATGATGAACATGGCGATCTTATTACTTCCTTCGAATCATTTGCAATGGAGCCAAAGAATCACAATTTTTTGGCTTTGGAATATGATGGAATAAAGCAAACTGTTTGCACTTCTTTGTTATGAAGCAGCAATCAGTTCATGCAATTTTCGACGTCATTTTCACCATAGGTCATTCGGAAACAGTCTATGTGTTTTAGTATGAATCATACCATTCATATGCCTGAATCCTGATGGCTAGAGATGTCAGACCATCTGTTTTACATGTTTTCAGAATAAACAAAATGTGATTGAATAATATTAAGCGATAACTGCCTCTCTTCTTTTCAAATCACATATTGAATGTGGCAGGAGTTGATGCCCGGAGGTGTAAATTCGCCTGTACGCGCTTTCAAATCTGTTGGTGGGCAGCCTATTTTGATTGATTCTGTGAAGGGCTCGTATATGTGGGACATAGATGGAAATAAATATATCGACTATGTAGGTTCTTGGGGACCAGCGATCATTGGCCATGCAGATGATGAGGTCAGTTCTACTAAAATGCATTGTGACTGATACCAAATCATCAATACTCGAAAAGGGTTTCACTTTAAAACACTATGGACAGCTAAATATATGTAGTGTCTTATCTGCTTTCAGTTTGCTGCTTTAAAATATATGCCACCTTTTTTATGAGATGTTTTCAGTAGGTCAGTGATTACGGAATGCATACTTGAAAGTTGAAACATTCAGATATAACTATGGTCTTATATGTGCACATAATTTATGCTTTACTCATATTTACAGTAATTTCTTTTGTAAAAAAATGAGAAGCGAGACATAACTAGTACTCCCTCCATCCCAATTTAATTTGCAAATTTTCCTATTTTTGTTGTCCGAAAATAATTTTACTTTGTATTTTAGGTATGGAAAGATGAATAAAGCAACAAACTTACCCTTCCTTTTACCCTTTTTTCCATTTACTTAAAGGTCTCTACTTAATGGGATGAAGTGCAAAATCGTAAAGTACAACTAATTTATTATCTTCCTGAATTCTTGGGACGAATGGAGTAGTTGTTAAATATTTTTTCATGGGGGGATAATCACAATAAATTTGCCTACTATTAAAATCTTCATATGGGGAGAGTCACAATAAAGTTGCCTACTATACTGTCACTAAATGCTCTTCCACACAAACGAAGGTGATCTATTCTCCATATATTTTAAACATGGTAATACTTTAATTGTTTACTTTAAGGTACTGGCAGCATTGGGTGAAACAATGAAGAAGGGAACAAGCTTTGGTGCTCCCTGTCTTCTCGAGAACACATTGGCGGAGATGGTCATTGATGCTGTTCCATGCATAGAAATGGTTCGATTTGTTAACTCAGGGACAGAGGCTTGCATGGGTGTGCTGAGACTTGCTCGTGCTTTCACTGGGCGAGAAAAGCTAATCAAATTTGAGGGGTGTTACCACGGGCATGCGGATCCATTTCTTGTTAAAGCAGGCAGTGGGGTTGCCACCTTAGGGCTTCCTGACTCCCCTGGAGTTCCCAAAGCAGCCACTTCTGAAACGCTCACTGCCCCATATAATGACATTTCAGCAGTAGAAAGCCTCTTTCAGGCCAACAAAGGGGAAATTGCAGCCGTTATCCTGGAACCCGTAGTTGGAAATTCTGGGTTCATTCAGCCCAAGCCTGATTTCCTCAATGCACTGCGCAGTTTGTCGAAAGACAACGGTGCCCTCCTCATATTTGATGAAGTTATGACCGGGTTCCGCTTGTCATACGGTGGAGCCCAGGAGTACTTCGGCATAACTCCTGATTTGACAACACTTGGCAAGATCATTGGCGGTGGCCTCCCTGTAGGGGCATATGGTGGAAGGAGGGAGATTATGGAGATGGTGGCACCTGCCGGACCTATGTATCAGGCTGGGACCTTGAGTGGAAACCCACTGGCAATGACGGCAGGAATCCACACACTAAAGCGGTTAAAGGTGCAAGGAAGCTATGAATACTTGCAAAACGTCACAGGTGAGCTACTTGAGGGAATTTTGACGGCTGGAAGGAATGCTGGTCATGCAATCTGTGGTGGGTACATCAGTGGTATGTTTGGTTTCTTTTTCACAGATGGTCCAGTTTACAACTTTGATGATGCAAAAAAGAGTGACACTGCAAAGTTTGCAAGATTCTATAGAGGGATGCTAGAGGAGGGTGTCTACTTTGCACCTTCCCAATTTGAAGCTGGATTTACCAGCTTAGCACATACTTCTGAAGATATTCAACAAACCATAGCAGCTGCTGAGAGGGTTTTCCAGAAACTCTGATTTTCTCTACTTAGCCCTTGTCTTCTATATCTCTTTTCATTTAGGCAATGATAACGCTTTTGTTAGAGAGCTTTATATGTTTATTTGAGGGAACCACATTCTTGTATCACCGCTTCATTGTGAAACCTCGTCTGTTATTAATTCCCTGCCAATGTAAACTTTTGTAAGAATAAATTGTCTTCATGGTTAAAAATTAAGTTGATCTGTTGTGATTATAATGTATTAAGTCCGGTAGTTTGAAATAGTATAGTACCATCGACTAGCTTGTGTGACGGTACCTTGAAATAGTTTTGGGGTATGCCCGCCATGGACGGTCTAGATGAGCTGTTGTGCCGTGAGAGATCTATGCTCTTACTTCAAACTTCAAAGAACTGCTCGGCCTATATGAAACAGGGCAACAAAAAAGTCTAATAAAAGTAGTCTTACTGTATAAATTTTGGAATGTCCAAAGACCCAAGTCCAAACACCAATAACTTAAGTTACTTCAGGTAACTTAACCATGAGAAAATCAAATGTGAACTGTTAAATCAAAAGTCAAAGATCCACATGAAAATTTGGCAGTGTTCATAAAATAAGCAAGTCAAACTCTAATTATTTGATTTGTTCTTGTTAGAAACTAATTATACTTTCGTATATCACGGTTTACACGTTTACACTGCGATCTACATCAACATTATTTTCTGTTCAAAGAGACACGCCACTCAGCCTCATGGATATGAATATTTTAGCGTGCCTTTGCGAATTGCGAGTAGAATTAGGTTTTAGTGCGCAAGTTGATGTACATAAGCCAAAAAATTCTAATTATCTCGTTGATAAGCATCATCAGCTGCTGATTATGTCTACCAAATTAATAACTTAAAACAAACAGCCCTCCATCCGACAATTAATTTTCAAATTTGTATAGTACACTTATTTAAGTTAGCCGCTTTTTGTTTGTTAATTGTTATTTCCAACTTTGGCTCTACTTAATGTTTAGTGTTCATAAAGTAGGAGCATTAATGCCTTTTTCTTATTAAAATTTTGACTTTGATGATAATGGGAACTTAATTTTTTCTTATTAAAAACAGTAATGCGAACTTAATTTCAAAATATTCCTAAAAATGTGTGCATGTGTATGACATCAAGTGTTTGACAAATTAAAGAATTTGGTTGACTCAGCCTCAGTAGTTCATTGGTTCCATATTTCTTTCCATTGCAAGACCTTAAAAAGAAACTAGTAGTTCAGTAGTATGTAAATATGCAATTTGGTGTAAAAAAATGTAAATATGTAATTGAGTGAAGCAAACAATAATTTATTATTGATCATTCTGCAGGTAGGTGGTGGAGCTTCCCAGCCACCATTACAACACAAAATGGATCAAAGGATTCTTGTCTCGACTGTAAAATTTAGACATTAAGCAATGCAAATAAGCAAATCACCCCTGAATCTTTAACAACAATTCACAAAAACCCTAGTTATTAATCACTCAGTACAGACCTAAATCTAAAACTCTAACAGTTTTTCATCTACAGAAGAAGAAGAAGAACAAGAGCAAACAATACAATAGCAGCAAAGGCAGAAATATATATAGTCAGGTTCACAAAACAATATAATGATGATGATAATAATAGTAGTAATAATACGAGTATCATCTGAGGAAGAAGAAGAAGTATCAACGGCCGTCGTCTTCTCTTCGGCCGGAAAGGGATGCTAGCAAATTGAGGTGTCCTTGTGCGATTGGCAAGTAATTCCCAACCCTAGCCGCCGACGCTTCGCCCAACTGCTGCTGGAAAAACCGAGAAGTCTGCGAATTCAATACGGCCGCCGCCTGTGTGGGCACCACCATCTCGTGAGGAGGAGGAGCCGCGGCGAAGCTCCAGACCTGGCCGAAGTCCGGCCTGCCAGGAACGGCCCAGAATCCGGCAGTAGGACCGACCACGACATCCTGTTGCTTGTTCCCGCCTCCGTTGTGGTCGTCCAGGCTATCCTCCTCCTCCTCACTCCGCAGCCTCTTGCCGAGAAGGAACGGCGGCGCTTGAGCCATCGGCTTGTGATCGAGCGACGAGAATAAAGACGCTCCCATGGACGACGAGGAGCTCCTCGCGGGAGGCGAAATCGTGGAGAAGCTAGCGGGGATAGTTCCGGTCCCGGTAGCGGCTATAATAGACGGCTCGGCCTGGCGGAGAAGCCACTCGATGGTCTGGCCGTCGGACTTGTGGCCGAGCTCCCGCGTGAGCTGGAAAACTCTGGCAGCGCAGACAATCGGCATGCGTATGCGCCTCCCGCGGCCGTCGACCTTGCTGTGGCGGTCCTTGGCCGGAGGCTTCTTCACGACTAAGGCCCCATTGGAGGCGTTGATACCGGAGGAGAGCTGCTGCGGGTCGATTACCGCGCCGTTTCCGTCCACGGAGGTCGACATCTCTGATCGAGGAGGAGGAGAAGAATAGACAAACAATCAAACCTCGCACTGGAATCAATGCCGGAGAAAACAAGGGATGGAGGAGGGGGAGAAATGGTGGAGGGGAGGGAGAGAAAGAAGGGGGAACAGGGTTCTAATGATTGAGAGGCAGGAGCTGGTGGAGACAGGAGGAAGGCACATGGGTGGTGGGGCCCGGGGTTGTACATACACTCAGTCAGGTCACGCACAGCTCATGCTTCCTCCACAGCCAGTAGCGCTATTCACTGTCGTCATCATCTTTTCTTTGTACGTTTGGTTGGTTCTAAGCTAAGCTAAGGCCAGTAGGATGGATGGATAACTATGAAGAGGAAGAAGAAAGAAGAGGATGAGGGTAAGGATTTGAGATATTTTAATGAAGAAATACTTGTTCTATATTAGGTGTGGATAGAATGGAGAGACCAATTTTGGCCACCTCAAAGAAGGATGAAGAACATAGCACCCTACATTGTTTTTTGTGTTGTCCCTCACCAGTCACAGGTGATTGAATCTATTTTTTTTTATTCCTGTTATACTTTAGAAACAAAAATTACTTTTGTACTACGTATAAAGAATTATTCAATATCTAATTCTCCCTTCATATTTCATATTTTAAAGTTTCCTACGTTAGTTTTGGGCACACAATTTGAGATGAAATAGTAGAGGTAGAGTAAAGTGATAAAGAATGAAGGAGAAGATAATAGAATATAAAGGATAAAGTATATGATAGAATGCAATTAAAAGAGGACTAGTTTTATAAAAAGATATGTGACTTTCTTTTGGAGTGGTTCATAAATTATTTGATTAAAAGAGTAGAGATGTAGGATATAATTAAATGAGGGTAAAAAAATACTCATAAGTGTAATAATGTATTTTCATAGACAAAAATTTTCCTTAATGAGAAAGTGTAGCGAACTTTTAAATACAACCGAAAAAGGAAAGTGTATGAACTTTTAAATATGGAGGTAGTATAGGGTATGTGGTAACATTGAAATTGGTTAAATAATTTGCAATGAGTGAAGTTCTTATATAAACAGTTAAATTGATTGAATCTATTAATTTGTGGAAAAAATTATGTTTACAATATATTGTATTTATAAAAAAATATAGAAAAAGCTATGAGCCCATTTGGTAGCACGAAAATCGGCTGCTTTGGCTGATTCTGCTGAAATTTATGAAGTTCTGGCTGAAGTGGCTGCATTGGCTGATTCTGCTGATTAAAAAAAATATTTTTAAAATATATTTTATTAATAAAGTAAAGAAAAAATTATATGTAAAATAGCTAAAATGATCATCTACAATAACTTCAGTCAATACAGCCAAAAAAGTAACTTCAACCTTACTTTTTCTCCTTATTACACAATTTAGCGCGCAAAAACAAAAATTATGTATTTGGTGAAAAAGTTGACTGATAAGCCTGATAAGTCGAAAAATAATGATTCCAAATGGCCACTATATTACTACAGAGTAGCATTTAGAGTCAAAGTGATATGTGAAATCAAAATATGATATCTAGTGAAAGAAATTGACTGATAAAATGAGTAAGTAAAAACTACTCCGTGAGAGTTACCAAAACACGTTTCAAAATTCTTTTACTACTCTTTAGGAAACAATAAAATTTAATCAATATATAACCAATCAAAAGATGTTTAAATATGTTTTTAGTTCCTGCAAATGTAGCACAATTGTTTCACATCCCTACCAAATTTTTATTACCGGAGTATTATTTTTCACCCTGCAATTTATGTTGGTTTTGTTTTTAGTCCATCATCGATGGTAACAACTTCTGCTTGAACTCAAAATAACTCCGACTAATAGATTTCTTCTAATGCTTTTTCATGTTATTCAAAAGGTATTTAATTTTATTTTTTAGAAGATTTTGAATATATATTCATTAAATATGAATACTTAGTTTTATATTGTTTTAATTCTCAATGTAGCTTCAAAAAAATATAAAATGAGAAATTTAAATATTTGTAGTAGATTTATGCAATTGTCATAATTTTTTCTAATTAGATTGATTTCAAATTAGAGATAGACTAAAACTAAAATAATACATATTACAAAGATAAAAAACAAAAAAATATTTTGTACAACTTAAAACAAAGTA